GAGTTTTTGTAGAGCTTGAATATAGGCTGGTATAGTATGTGCAAATATTTTCTACCACGTAGTACAGTGTTTTTTTCGTTTCAACAGTAGTTTCTTTTGTATGAAGAACTTTTTAGCTTGATATTTTTCAATTTGTTTAGTTTTGTTTTTGTTTCCCTTATTAGATTTGAGTCCCTAAAGACTCAGATGCCATGAAGTATATTACTTATGTTTTATTCTATGTATTTGATGGTTTTAGACCTTAGATCGAAGTTTTTAATTCAGTTTCTGTTAACTTTTGTGTATGATCTAAGAGAGTGATCTAGCTTCATTCTTTTATATGTGACTGTCAGGGTTTCCCAACATCAAAAGGAAAAAGAAATTTTCCTGTTTCCAGTATGTACTCCTATGTCGCAAATTAACTTTCTGTGTAAGCATGGGTTTATTTCTGGGCTCTCAGGTCTATTCCATTGATTTAGGTATCTATTTTTAGTAAAACACAATAGGGCAGTCCTTATGGAAAACAGTATGGGGGCTTTCCAAAATAACAAAAAAATAGGTCTACTATTTGATCCAGCAACTCTACTCCCTTTTGGTATGGCTCCAAATATATGAAAAGACTAATTCAAAGGAATATATACACTCCCAAGTTCATTGCAGCATTGTTTACAATAACCAAAGTGTGGAAACAACCCAAGAGCCCAATGACAGGTGAGTGAATAAAGGAGATAAGGTGTGTAATACAAAGTGAATGCTGCTTAGCTGTAAGAAAACAAAGTGACTTTTGCTCTTTGTAACAACTTGGCTGTAGCTGGAGGGGTTATGCTAAGCAAAATAAATTAGAAGGAGAAAGATAAAAACTGGATGATTTCACTCATCTGTGGAAAACCAAGGATCAGAGGAAAGGAACAGAAAAATTAACCTCAATCAGACCCTTAAAATATAGTTGCAGAATTGAGATTACTAGAAAGGAACAAGAGAGAGTGGCTAGCTGGGGGGTGTGCCAGGAGGAGCTTCACTTGGTGGTGGGCGTGGTATGACAGCTAATATCTGACAAGGTGTGACGCTGTAGCCCTAAAACCTACATAGTGTTGTAACTGATGTTACCTCAATTAACAATGACACGATGCAAAAAAATAAAATAAAACAAAGAGATAAAGGAAAAAAAAATAAAAGAACAAAAAAGAGAGGAAACCCTGAACCAACGTGGGCATGCATTTCTTTCTTGAGATTTTGGTAGTGGAAATGGAGTTCAAACCAGAGAAAAATATGTGTAAAGGTGCTCTCTGGTTTTAAGTTAAAGAGAAGTAAAAGCATCATTCTTCTGCTATTTCTAGCTATTACTACTCTCAATTTTATCACAGAAGGAGCACGACAAAAAGTGTTATAAAAAGCAGGGAAACGGTTCGCTTGAGTCATAGTCTCTGAGTTAGTCTTCTTGTTCCTCGTCGACTAGTTCCTAGAATTTGTATTACTGGTTCTTTCTACCTAACTCATTTCCTGCCCTTACTTCTGTTACTATCTATTCTATTCTTTACTATCATTTGTTACTGATAACAGTTTTTTGATTTTACTACAAATCAAACATCATTTAAAGGAAGTCATATATTTCACGAAGGAAGTTATTCAGGTGGCTCAATAAAATTTAAGAACTGGCTCCACAGGTATGTCCTATACATGATTTTGAATCTTGTCTGGAAGGCAGATGTGACGATTGGGATGTGGGTTGTTTAAAAATAGCCCAGGGTTAATGAGTGATCATCTGATAAGCACCTGAGCTGAGTGCCCTGGTCTAGTTCCTGCTGGGGCAGGGAACCAGGGATTATTCTAACGTAAATTTGAAGTTGGACTCTTTCTGAGCCATTCCCCTAGTTAGGATAATTTCAAGAGGAAAGCACATTTCTCAAAGTGAGAAAAAATTATTTTTGTGTGAAATACGGTTCTAGTTTATAGCGGTTAGTTGATGTTCTTTTAATGTAAAAAAAAAATCAAATAAAAAAAAACGAAAGAAGATTCTGGTAAAAGCAATACTTAAGGGAAGAGACAGCGGTTAGTTGATGTTCTTTTAATGTAAAAAAAATTTCTAATAAAAAAAACGAAAGAAGGTTCTGGTAAAAGCAATACTTAAGGGAAGAGACAGCGGTTAGTTGATGTTCTTTTAATGCAAAAAAAAAAAATTTCTAATAAAAAAAAAAACGAAAGAAGGCTCTGGTAAAAGCAATACTTAAGGGAAGAGAGGATGCTAGTCCACAAAGCCAAGATAAGTACACTGGCCTCCAGCTCTCCAATACTCCCTTCCCATTTCTGTCTCAAGGGATTTTTCCTTCTTTTTATTTTTAAAGATGGATTTATTTATGCATACAAGAACTGGGGAGTAGGCCAGAGGTACAGGAGGTACACGAAAACTCTGCACGTGCAGGAAATCACATTGAATTCACTTTCTTTTTTTTTTTTTAGATTTATTTTTATTTATGTACGCATATCAGAACCTGGGCGTAGGCCAGAGGTGCAGGTTAGAGGTGCAAGAGGTGAGAGGACCCACCAGAAACAGAGTGGGGAGCAGGTAGATCCAATGAAATACACTGCAGTGGAGACCAGTGTCTGACATAAGAGAGGTCTGCTGTGCCAGGTGGGTCGTCTCCCTGGCCAGGGATTGAACTCTTCCTGAAAAGGCTGCCAATAGCTTCATAGTGCTGAGACCCAACCCTTTGCACCACCAGGGAGGCCCTGTCTAAGTTTTATGTGACTATTCAGTGAAATTTAAATAGAGCTCCTTATGGTGGTGGAATGTTGTGGAGGTGGTGGGTGTGGTGTGGAAATAATACCTGGGGTGGGGATGGGAGATCCAGTACTTCCAGTACACAAATGATGGTATAAACCAGTGCTACCAAAATATTAAATATACATACATCTGCACATGTACACATGCTTACATCGCCATGTACATTTGCTCACACGGTGTGTGTACACAAACACACATGTGTAAAGAGAGCTCCTCAAATATATGTCACATGTGAATTAAGAAGGTGAATTTAGGGCCTCCCTGCTGGTGCAGGGATTAATCTCAGGAGTTCAATGACCCTCAGAGCTGACCCCATGGCACAGCAGACCTCTCTGGTCTAGCCAGCTCCTCCCCTCAGCAGTGTATTTCAGTGGATCCACCTGTTCTGCTCCCCACTGTCTCTGGTAAATCCTCTCACCTCCTGCACCTCTGGCCTACACCCAGGTTCGTATCAGCATGCATAAATAAAAATAATCTTAAAAAAAGAAAGTGTATTCAATGTGATTTCCTATACATTTTTTTTCAGTATGTCTGGTATCATCATTCCTTTTTCATCTGCCCCTTTTCTGAGGTTGGCAACTAGAGAACATGTCATCTGCTGTTTTGATTTCAACTCTCCTTTTGTAGATTGCAGATTACTTTTCCAAGATTAATCTGTCTCCCTCTCTACCACAAATCTGTAACCGATACAAGCCTGAAGAAGAAAATACCGCATAGTTTCTGTTAGCCTAAGGGACGTACTGCACACGTCCATCATAGGACATTCTTGTAAATAACAAGCTTTCATTCTTTTTCAAATGTCCAAACTAATAAAATAGGCATTACTCAGGCTACTGCTATCCTTTTCTGCCTCATTTTGTTTCTTAGAAGACAGTTTATTTTGGCATCTTCTTCTTACCCTACTTACCAAGCACTGGTTTTGTTTCCGTAATCTGAATAAACTACTCAGGTTTTTTTTTTTTTTTTTGCCATTTACATTTCCAGCTTCATAAGTGAGCAGAAAACACTTCCCTATTCTCAGATTTAAGGTGGTACGAGGAAGCAGAAAGGAAGTAAAATCACAAAGAAAGGTCACTTTTTTAAGATGTCGAGATGAAAGGAAATGAAAGTAAAGTTTGAAGTTTGGAAAGACAGGGCAGAGGGCTCAAGGTTTTCAGAAGAAAGTCACTAGTAAATTGCCCCCAATTCAGCACATCTGCTTATTGGAGCACCACTGTTATCATCATTATGTTGAGAAAAAGGCGGTTCAAATTGACTTATGCTTCAGGACATAGTATTAAAGACAACTTTAGTGAACATTTAATATGATTAAGTTCAGTGAATATGACCCTGGAAAGATTTTAATCTCGAAATACCAGTCTTTGGTAGCGGTCCCAGACCCTTGTAGCATCTGAATCCTAGTTCCTTCCAGCCAGGAAGGCAGGACCAGCAAAGAGAGACACGGAGTCAGCCCCCAATCTGTAACTCACTGCATCATTTAATTGACAGAGTGCTGGCTACTTCAGAAAATGGCCTGGAATGTTTTGTTCATTTTTGTTCTTGTTCTTATACATCAAGACTCTCAGGACAATACCAATAAGCAGCTTTCCTGGTTCAAAAGAAAACCGCGTGTGTCCGTGCCTGGGAGGAGGACAACCTTGTATGTTTAATTACTTTTGCCTTATTTCGTCCTTTAGATCTGCTCCCTGATTTCACCTCAGTTGAGCTTTGAAGCTGTAGACAGATTAAATCAACCTCTGGGATCACATGCAGCCGAAGAATGTGGTTTCCCAGGTCTATCCATGCCCTGCTCCCCTTTCACTTTGGCATTCTGACAGTCCTCACCAATGTCTCGGGCAGACACTTCATTTTCTACCCGGTTGCAGCCGCTTTCAGTTAGGTCCAGAGGCGCCTGGCCAACGTGCTCCGCTGAGGTCACCAGGCAATGGCGCATGGGCGCACGGCTCGGTGATTGTGCAAACGTTCACAATAATGCTGACAGGTGAACACGCTGCGTGCCCTCCTCTTGGAAAACTGAGAAGTACAAAGAACATTTATGTGCAGTTTCAGACGCGGCGAGGAGCTCTTGTGGTTTGGGACGCCCCCGGGGAACCGCCCCCCCTCACTGGCCAAGAAAGTTGCCCCACCTGATCTGTAAGTTTACCTGCGGTTGTCAGCAGGGGGTGCACCTCATCCAGCCAACACTGGATTTAGTCTAGAAAGAAGCAGTAAAGCAGCTTTTATTTGCAAACCCCCTGGGTCCAGAGTTCATTGCAGTGGGAAAACTGTTCTCTCCTGCAACGCAGAACTTGGCTTTGCAGCAGCAGGTCCAGCTCCGGAGTCCGGCTTAGCGGACCATGGCGACGTATGGCCTGCAAATTGTGGCGCTGATGCTCGGGGGCACCGGTCTGGTGGGCACAGTGGCCGTCACCCTGATGCCCCAGTGGAGGGTGTCCGCCTTCATTGAGAGCAACATCGTGGTTTTTGAAACCCTCTGGGAAGGGCTATGGATGAACTGTATGCGCCACGTGAACATCAGGATGCAATGCAAAGTCTACGACTCGCTGCTGGCTCTGTCTCCCGATCTGCAGGCCTCCCGGGGGCTGATGTGCACCGCCTGCGTGCTGTCCCTTCTGGCTTTCATGACGGCCATCCTGGGCATGAAATGCACCAGGTGCACCGGAGACGACGAGAAGGCGAAGGGTCACATTCTGCTCACCGCCGGCATTCTCTTCATCGTCACTGGGCTCGTGGTGCTCATCCCGGTGAGCTGGGTGGCCAATTCCATCATCAGAGACTTCTACAACCCCATAGTGGATGTTGCCCAAAAGCGGGAGCTGGGGGAAGCTCTGTACCTCGGCTGGACCACGGCGCTGGTGCTGGTGGCCGGGGGGGCTCTGTTTTGCTGTGTTTCTGGCTGCAGTGACAAGAGCCGGAGCTACAGATACACCGTCCCGTCCCATCGCACCACCCCAAAGAGCTACCACGTGGAAAAGAAATCATCCAGTGTGTACTCAAAAAATGCGTATGTGTGACTGCGCTTTTTTTTTTAGCTTTACATGCAAATGACTAAAATGTCTACTGTTTCCTAAAAATGCAACCCAAAGAAACATTGATTTGCCTTCTTTACTGCCTGCCTTAATGACAGGAACTGCACCTCAGCTATTTATGATTCTATAAGCTACACAGAATAACATGTTATAGGCATCGCTTTGATTGTTCTAGGAAATACAGTCATTTGTTTCTAAAATGCTTCATGTATTTTTTTTTTCTTTTTATCAGTTCCTTCAAAATGACATTGTTGAAGATTGTAACTGTGGTTTCTCTATGACTTGGTGTTATGGATAGAGAAGAGTGTGTGATGTTTATCTTTCCTAAGTAGAGAGGCTCATGGTTCTATTGTAAAGGAAATACTGATCCATAAATAGAATTCAGCTATTGCTTTTCAGGGGAATCGGGGATAAGATTGAAGAAGGTTAATATTAATTGTTTAAAAACAGCTTAGTGATGAACATACCTGATTTATAATGAAGGTTAAAACGAAAGCTTTAATCAGCAGTGTGAAGGAAGCTAAAATGCTTTTTGATATCCATTTTCAGCCTAGGAGTTAGAAATCCTAACTCCTTCATCTTCCTTTCCCAGAGGCTTTCCTTCCTTGTATATTAAATTAACAACTGTAAAAGGCAGATATTTGTCAAGGGGCTTTGCAAGCTAACTATTTTTCCAGTTGGAGCTTAAGAAGAAAGATGAAAATGTGGTCTGAGAAAAATGGGAGACTTGACTACTTTCCCCTCTTAAGCTGAAGAAGAGTATATTTTGACATGACAGCTTACATGGAGGGGAAATTTTAGTAACTACTTGAATACAGACTGCAGAACTTAATCAGTATAAATAATGGGACAAAACCAGTAAGTCTTAGTTTATGTTTGTTTACCAAATACACACTGTCCTTTGTAAAGGATCTCTTCCCCTATGTGGAGTCAGTAGACAAGAGGGTCATTTTAGGCCTGGCAAAGGTGTCTTTTTCATTTCTTCCATTTTGCTCAGTCTTACTGAGGCATAAAAATGTTCTTTGTGTCCCCACAATTTGATGAAAGTGATGTCTCAATTTGAAAGTTTGTGTCTACCCTTTACTAGCATAAATGACTGGTTTATCTGCTTTATCTCCTTTATGGTAATAAATTGTTCCTTTTTATATTAACTTGAGATTCCTTCATTTTTTTTTTTGTTTTTGTTTTTCTTTTTAGCTGGTAAATAATTTTTTTTTAACCTGGTATGTTTGGCTCTCCAATTTCAAAAAGAATATCAAAGTCATATTTTAAAAATAAGCCTAAATTTAGCATTTTTTTTTGGAGAACTTAAAATACTGTGTATCATTTAACAACCATATGCTTTATAATCATTGGTTCTCACATTCATTTTTAATGCAGATAATGTAGTTGTAATTTGTTAAGATGCCACTATAGCTTCCAACAAATCTATACACCATAAAAACTTTCCAAAGCTAAATACATGTTTCTATCACCAAGAAATAGTATTAATTAATAATAGTGACTAGTTTTAATGGGCTGTGTTCTATGCTAGGAGTTCTATGGCTTTGTATGGATTTTGTTATTAAATCTTTATGACATTGATATGATTAGTTTAGTTCAATTCACTGATGAGGACGCCTTGGAAAGTTCATTGATTAACCAATAAATCCAGGAGACAAAAGGTTTACCTGACTTCATAGCTCATGTTCTTTTTCTTCAGGGAAAGTAGAGTTTCTTCCATAAAATTCTGTCTATAAAATAACATGCTTCACAACTGTCCACTGGGAAAATACTTTTTTTTCTGGGATTGGTGACTTTCCTGTAACGAAGTGCTAATTTCTCTTAGAGAATTTTTCATTTTGGGGGTCAAAGCATTCGTGAGAGCAGAAATAAAGGAAAACTTGCTTTAAATTGGAGAAGAAACCCAGTCTTCTAAATGTTAGTCTTTAATCAAACACTCTTTCTACCTAGAAGACATCTCTGAATTTCCCAAACTCAATGTGTTACCTTCCCCCTCTTTTCCCTAAACTAGAATTATAATTGCTAGTTTTCCTTCTGGAAGCACCTTGAGTAGAGCTCTGAAAGCTTTCTCCAAGTTCTCACAAGGGCTTTCAGAGAACCTCATGCCTATATAGTTGATGCGTCTACCAGACTGTCATCGCCTACAGAAACTTCCTCCACCAGGTCTCTTCCAGATTCCCATTTCATTTTTTTTCTAAAACACTTGCTAGACCCCACCAGGTTCTGGCCAGAACCCTCACAGGAATGCTTCACTGCCTACAGGCCAAACGCCTTCCAGGTGGTAATTGACAGAAAGGGAAATCTACCCTGCAACCTTCAAGGCAAATTTTATCACACAGGAACATCAGCTTATGGTAACAGCCAGAACGCTGATGCCCAGAAGCTAGAATATTTCACATACCAAAGGTCTTCTTAATATCCTGAAAGGAAATGCACTGGACCTTGAGGAAACAGGTCGATTCTGTGGCAAACTCTATATAAGTGAAAATTTTAGAATTTATTTTTATTATATGTATGCTGGGACAAGCAGTGTGATGTGATGGAAAGAACCAGAGCAATAGAGGATATGTGTGTGTGTGTTTAAATATTTATTTATTTATGTATACAGAACAGGCCAGAGGTATGGGGGCGGTGAGAGGTTTTACCAGAGACAGAGTGGGGAGCAGAACAGATAGACTGAATGAAACACTGCTGAGAGGAGCTGCAGGCAGGTCAGGAAAGGTCTGCTGCGCCATGTGGGTCAGTTCCTGGCTGGGAATTGAACTTGTGCTTCAGTGGCTGTGGAGAGCTTCCTAGTGCTGTGCTTTAACCCATTGCACCACCAGAGAGGGCTCAGCTGTGTGTTGTTTGAGGCCTCAGTTTCACTCTAGTCTTTTTTTTTCTTTCACACCAACACAAAAGTGTCCCTAACACAAACCCCCTTCCACAGGCTGTGTCCTGAGCAGTGCCCTGCAAGAATCATCATTGAACCCCTTTATGCTCAGAACTGGGGGCATAAGGGTGGGTAGGACCCAGTTTTTGTTTTCAAGAAACATATATGAACAAGAAGAGATGGTGAGAAAAGTAGCTTCACCAAATCTTGTCATCATGTGCTGGGATGTGTTCGCCCTTTTTTTTTTTTAAACTTATTGATCTCCTAAGAATCCTATGAATTGCATATTAAATTATGAGACCACTGACTCTCAAATATGCCATCCTCTAATTAAAGAGCTGTGTTTTTCCTACAGTAATACTGGCCAAAGCCAGCCCTTCCAGAGTTAATTTTCTGTGTGGTAAGTCACCTCAGCACCCTCACCAAGACTCCCCAGGGACCCTGGTCACTGGCCTCGTCCTCAGAGCCCAAGGGTTGACTTCCTCATCTGTTTCTGCTATACTTCACTTTCCCTTTTTCTCCTCCCAACCTCCACATCATTTACCACCTTTGGTTACTGACATTCATGACTTTTTCCTGGCAATATATCCTATTTTTTAAGACTCCTATCATAAGTCCACTGCTTTAAATCCTTCAGGCCTTCTCTCGTGGCCTCCCAGAGCCACCGGCATGGTCTCACTGCCCCTCCTCCAGCTCTGTTCCAGCCAGGACACCCAAGCACAGCCGCTGCTGGGGCCCAGCCAACAGGCAGTGCTGGGAGGCTTGTTTTCTGGAAGCATTGGGTGCTGCCAGGTTCTAGGAGAAAGAGCTGCTGTGTCTTCCACCTGAAGGGAAACTAGAAGTCAGGGACTCCTGGTCCAGGGACCTGAGGGTAGGCCTGCAGCTCTTTGGGGGGAGTGAGCAGCTGTGGAAGAGGGAGACAGGTGGGCTCACCTGTCTTGCAAGTAGGCTGGGAATGAGCAGAGGGAGACATTTTACCCCCAGGTAATCCGTTCTCGGGGCCAGAAACACTGTGGGAAGCACAAGTTAAGGTGGGGTCCTCCTTGGTCTGGAACAGGGGAAAGCCTTCTAGCTAACTGGGAGGGAGAATGCAGTCAGCAAAGTGCCGAGAGGTCACTTCCCAGGGCCCAGCACACACAGAACATGTTCGGGTTACTGCAATACAAGAGGAAACAGGGAATCCTGGCCACATAATTGCTAATGCAGCAAATTAACTTTTACAAGAATAGAGACCCTAGAGTCATACAATGGAACTCAACAACCAGAAAAAAACAAAGTGCAAGCTGAATACCTATAACTGCTAGGCAACCTCTGAGGAAATGGATCTCCTGGGAAAGAGAAGTGACGTCTCACACAAACACTTATCTCTAAGAGCCTGAAGGAGATCGAATGATAGGATTAACAAAGGTTTCTTATAATGAAAATAGTGTGATTTTTACATTAAAAATGCACAGGGAACTGAGAGTTGAGGGGGCTCAATGCTGAGGTAAACATTGGATGTTTAGATGATCAAGTGAAAGAAGCTCAGAATACAGGCAAACAGAACATAGGAAATGATGGCATTCTTAGGAAAACGGTAAGGGACTTGGTGAACAAATTCTAGCAAATTCAGAAAGCAGGATAAGAATGCATGGAAGGAGACACTCACAAAATAGGATACTTCTGAAAGAGAATTCAAACTTGCTGATAAAAAGAGCTCAGACTAGAGCTCATAATTTGATTTTGTTAAATTTGTGGACAAAGACTTTGAGACACGTGCAAAGAATAAATCCTCTTTTGCAACCAGAACTCTTTGTTCAGCATGAGTCTTGATACAGATAAGAACGAACATGATCACTAAAGCAGATTGATAAGAATCAAGGTTAATCCGGGAATGTAGAATCGATGATTTAAAAGCATGTAGGACATTTTGCATCTTGATTGGAATGTCGATGTGGAACAAAGATGGCTTCTGTCTTTTAGGCTGGGTTCTGAAATTCTATCACTTCCAGATTGCCTCATTGCAATTCAACACGTTTATACTACATTTAGTTCATCACTGAAAAACCAATTCTATCCTTGGCCAGACAATTGTTCCCTTTGTCCTGATATAAACTCCCCACCCAAACTCCTTTCTTCTGGGAACCACTAATTGGCCTTTATACTCCAACAATTTGTTTTTGTTTTATTTAGCTCATCTTTTTGTCTTCTCCATATACCACATATAAGTGAAAGTATATGATGTTTGTTTTTCTTTGCCTGACGTATTTCACTAAAAATAATACCTTTGTGGCCATCCATGTTATTGCAAATTGCAAATAGCAGAATTTCTTCATTCCTTATAAATGAAAAGTATCCCATTGTGTGTATGTATATGAGAACATGTGTGTATCACATCTTCTTGGTATTTGTCAATGAACATTTAAATAGACTCCACTTTTGCACTTCATAAATAATGCTATCTATTCAAGTAGTCCTTCTGTATTTTCTAGTGAAATACCCAGAAGTGGGATAACTGGATTATATGGAATTTCTATTTTAATGTTTTCAGATTCTAAATACTCTCGATAGTGGCTATACCAGCTTACAAATCTCACTAACAGTTTGCAATGACTCTGTTATCTCTCATCTTCTCCGACATTTTCTTTTTTGAAATAACAGTCAATCTGTTATTGACTGTGTGCAATGATAGATTATAGTTTTGATATCAATTTCCCTAATACTAAGAGATGATAAGCTTGATAAGCTATCTTTCTTGCATCTATTGGCTATCTGTATGTTCTTCTATTCAGACTCCATGCCCATTTTTAAATCTGTTGTTTGTTTGCTTATTGTTGTGATTTATGAATCCTTTGCATATTGTGGGTATAAACTCCACATCACATTCGACATGCAAATGCAACCCCCATTCAGTAGGCTGTCTTTTCATGTTGATGTAAGTTCATTTTCCTGTGCAAAAACTTTTATTTTGCTTTTGTTTTCCTTGTCATTGGAATCGTGTATGCAAATACATCTCGAAGATTGATGACAAGAAGAGTATCCTCCATGTTTTATTCTATGTAGTTTATGGCTATAGCTCTTAAATTGAGGTCTGTAGCCCATTTTGAGTTAATTTTTGTGTATGGTGTGAACGAGTGGTCTGGTTTCATTTTCTTGTCATGCTTGTTCAGGTTCTCCAGTACTATTTAGCAAAGGCACTTTCCTTGATCTTCTGTAAGCACTTGGCTCTCTTGCCATAAATCAGCTG